AAGATATGAATAAATAACTGATTTTCCATCACTTCCTCAAAAGAGCCATGCCTTAATGGTGCTGAGTGCTCCGCTAAAAATCGATTTGCTGCAAATAAGAAACTAATTGCTGCACACAATAAAGAAGCGAGTTGATGCAGGTTAGGATGCATCATTTAACAATAAGTACTAGAACACAGTCCCAATCGGCCGGCAAACTCAGCTGCACGCGCAATGCTTATCGTTTAACTTGCAGCAACTAATTTCATATTTGCAGCAACTCATTTCAAATTCAGCAACTGCTCTAACATGTAGGAATTTGTTTCTTAACTGAGAAACTAATAACTGAGACAAATTGAAATATTTTCTCTGAGGTTGTTTCTGCGGTCTATCAATCGTGTTTAACAACATCCTATAGCGAGTTGTGAGGTTTCGTTTACTTTCACGCTTTAGAGTGACCTTCGGCCTTGGAATTTTCACAAATCATGTTTTATTTCATTTCTTTAGCTGTTGCGATTTGACGGGATTGTGCCGACTAAAGACTATAAACGAGCTATAATGATATTGATGCCATAGCACCCATATCCATATAGCCCACGAGCGCGAAATCTAAAAGAATATCATAAAAATCTAATTGTAACTTATTTGCAGCGACTAAAAAGATGTTGACTCAAACGATATTTTTAATTGAGTGTCATCATGTTCCCCTTATTCACACTGACATCTCGAGGGGGGGACTGACATATTGCTTTCTTTCTGTTAAATAAGAGGCAAACCAGGCCAGGGTATCTTTGCTAGCCTTGAAAGCATGAGCACTGTGGTTGACATAGTCGAACACTACAGATATGAGTTCATCTGAGGAGAAGAACTGATTTTCTTTCATCTATAGCACGATGTATGTACTCTAATCAACGCTGTTTCTAAGCTGACTGAAAGCGTCATTTACTAATTCAAGGTGGCGAAGGTCTTTGCTATGATATGAATTTCAGGTTAGATATGGGTCTAAAGTATTTTATGATTCCTCTTGGTCAGTACTGGGCTTTTTGAGACGGGACTCGAGAACAGCCACCTTAAGGTCGTTTGGTACTCAACTGTTAGTTTGCGATAGTTGCGATTTTAGATATAATAGGGACCAGCACGTGCAAACGGTTCTTGGCAATAGCAGAAGGTATCGGATCTAAACTGCAAGATTAAGAAGCTGTGATAGTAGCAAGTTTCATGTTTCAACTGGTTTTCCGAGACCAGGGAGAACGCAGAGAATTAGTTTTTTCCAATGGGAAATGGTTCTATCTATGCTAGAAACTGTACTTCGTTTCGTGAGGTCAAGGCTGTTCGCGGTGAAGAAATCAGCGAAGTCATTGGCTAGCTTAACAATTGCTGGCTGTTGGATGAAGTTTTTCTGTAGATCTATGTAGCATCTTACCAATAGCGCTGAAAAGCACCCTTTGATCAGAGATATGGTAGAAACTAGATAAACTAGTTAACCGCGTCGGTGTTTGGAATAGAACAGTAGGAGAATTGATACACCGTATGGTTTGTGATGTTTAGAAACTGACGTTTCGGACGTTAGTCCGTCTTCGGAGTAAATGTAAAGTGATGGAGGTGGAGATGTGTATGTATAGGGAACGTGGAAGGTGAATAACCAATGAGAGATAAGTAAGCGGAAAAACAAAAGAAAACAAGAGGATTAAAAGTAACAATAGACTAATTAAAGGCGAAGCGCTCGTTCATGCCAAGGGTCAGAGATAGAATGATCGGGAGAATTAAAATGGCGGGAAACTGGTTTGGAAAGATCATTAGTCCGAATATTATATAGATGATCCCTTATGCGATCACTTAAACGGCGTCCAGTTTCACCGATGTATAACTGATTACAGTTAGAATTATTGAATGCAACAATAACGTTAGATGTGGTACAATCAAAATGGTCAGTGATGGTAAAAGTAGATTTGGGACCTGTTACAGAAGTGCGAAGAGCGATGAAAGGA